AAAAAAAAAAATAAGTCAAGAAAAATTCCAGAACCAAAGGACATGAATTTCCAGATTAAAATGGTTCATCGGTGCCTAGCAAATGCGTTAAAACAAAACGAAAAAACCCTACCCAGAGCCAAACATCATAAATTTCTGGGAACACAGAAAAAAATCCCAAATGCTTCCACAAAAGAGTAAAAGAAAAATAAGTCACACAGAATCAGGGCTCATGATGACACTGGATCTGGAGGAGGCAGGCTGCCTCGAGATGGGCCACCTTGGCATGAAGGTTATTTTGAGTTAAAAAGCCATTAAAACCCAACAGATTCAGGAAAAGCGCTTTGGGTTCCCCCTCAACTGCCTAGAAGAAGTTAGATAGGGGACCTGCTCCCGGAAAAGAGCGGTCACCGCGGACAACTACACTACTATGAATGAGGGGTGGTCGATGGGGAGGGAAGGCCACTGAGTGGCCCAGCAGACATTTGTTTACCAAACGTTTACTCTTCCTGAGAACCGCGTTCCTTCCCTTTGAAGTCCCAGACCCCTGCTCCTTCTTGGTTCAGAATGACATACGTGCCTCACGTTGCCTGTCTTCAGAATTTCGTGTCTGTGCGGATTCCCTGTACGTACCGGACTCTCTCCTGTCAATCTTTCTCATGTCAATTTGATTCTTAGTCCATCTAGAAGGAGCCTGAAGGGGACAGGGTTTTCTTGCTCCCCGGAAAGGCAGATTCTTGGAGCAACACTAGACGCCAGGAGGCAATGGGACCAGGGTGTCAAGATTCTAAGGTAAAATGGATTCCAATCTAGAGTTCTATACAGAGTCACAGTGTTAACCAACATGGAGGACTTTGAGGAGTCTGAGAAACTCCCCTCCCAAGCCCCCCTTCTCAGGAGGAACGCGGAGGCGGTCAGGCACCAAAATGAGGGAGTGAAAGAAAGAAGGAGGAGACACAGGGCAGGGAGGGCAGCAGGAAGACAGCAGGGGAATGGCCCCTCGTGCCACATGGAGTCGGTCAGGCAGCGAGGAAGGACTGGAGAGGAGATGTATACCTTTCTTGGAGATGCGTGGGAGAGGGCAGTGACAGCAATAGGGAAAACCAAGCAAATGCAAAGGGGATAATTATTCACCGCAGGGAAAATAAAAAAGCTGTAAAGGAGAGGAAACACGACGATGGTGTAACTCAGCCATGAATATGTACATGGTCACGATGAAGCGAACACACTGATCTAACCAACAATTATGATAAACCACATAAGATGGGAGACGAAAAGAGCGTGTGTGGTGGGCAGAAGGGTCACGGTGTGTCAGAGAGAAATTATCCTGTATAGTGAGAAGTTAACAGTCATACTATCTAAAACTGAAAAACAGGAAACAGCAAAAAATGTTACTGAAGAATATGGAAGCAAAAATAAAAAAGAAACAGCTAAAGGCATAGGAATTAATTGCCTCTGGGGAATAAGGAGTGGGGAAAGAAACAATGGAGTTGTGTGTGTGTGTGTGTGTCTTTTGGTAAAAAGCTTTGTACAACATCTTGCATTTTAAACTATGAGCATTTATAACTCTGATTTCCAAACTTTGTTCATACAGCTTACAGATTTACCTATGCCTAGCCCTTTACGTACCAAATTGACACATAAAACGAAATGAAACGAAAAACATAAATAAAAACTTCTAGTAGATTCCATCACTATTTGGTGAAAACTGATGTCTAATTCTGTTTGCATACTGGAACATACTCCCAGAGCAGAATCTTTGTAGAGAGTGGATTGTGCACCTTGTAAAATTTGCCCCAACTTTCATTCAAAGCCTGTTACAGAAGGCATCCTACGGACACAGGGAATCACACGGGAGCAGGTGTAACACAAATGGTTCGGATCAAACGTGCATAAACCTCTCCACTGATGACATAACAACTTCTGAACTTTAGGAGGAGGGTCTGCGGTCTGCAGAGATACAGGCCAAGACAGTCCAAATTCATTCAGCCAGCTGTGACTGTAGGCAGACTACAGACTACAGACTGTCAGATGCTGATGTTATCACGAACAGTAAGACCTAGGTGTTGCTTCTGAAGAGAGTAGCATTCTAGGGGGAAAAAAGACTGGAAAGCACATCATGAAAAGGGACTTTCCAGTTGGCTCTGTTTATGTTGGTTTCACTTGAATCTTTTACATTGAAAATACATCTGTCCATTCCTCACACTGTAAAAA